TAGAGAAGGACTAGTGTAACACCTTGTGTACAATATCGGTAAAAGCTCTTCACGGTGCTGAACTACATTATTTCCATTTTGAAAATTTGATGTACGCCTTGATTATGTCTACAATGAAGTTGTGATCATACTTCCTAACACGTCTTAACTAACTACGTATTAAGGAATGTCTTATAGAAAACCAGACATCTCATATTGGATGGTCAAATGTGCAATTGAACTAGGACAATTCGGCATATCTTGTAAGCTACAGACCGCCATCAAAGGACAAGTCATAGCCAACTTCGTGGTTGAGTTCTACTCGAACCCTCAAAGAGATCATCAAGACGTCCCCTAGAAGCTCTACTCTGACGGGTCTTCTAATGAAGCTTGCTTAGGCGCATGAGTGATACTAATTAGCCCATATTGATATCATTTTTGCCAAACTGTTACCTTCAACTTCAAGGCTTCTAACAACGAGGCCGAATACGAAGCCATAATAGTTAGCTTGAAGATGGCTAAATTGTTGGAAAAACTGGAAAAATGGCTGACTTTGGCACTAATTTTGAGCGGGACCCGCTTGGCTATTTTGAAAGATGAAAGTTGATTTGTGTTCTCCTTCGTGAGTACATCGAAATCATATACTTACTTGTCAAAAATGATGCTCGGGTGAATCTGAAATTGAAGCTCAAAGTATGCCATGTGAAAGGAGTTTGTTGGTGGGAAAAATAAATTTTTAAACTTTGTCCCACATAGGAAGTGGAGGAAATTTAAAATCACTTTATAAAGGATTGTACTTTAGAATTGTGTAATCATGTGTAGCATAGAGGCTCTCTCCACGGGCGCGCGCAGGGGGGTGCAAATCTTGGACCGAAATTGGCTTTGAACCTTGAACTTGTGTGCGAGCACGACCTGCGTACACGAATGTCGGACCGAAACGAGCAAAATTGGCCCCTAGGAGTGTCCACGTTTTGCTACATTTTTTAATTTTTTTTTCAATAGACTTTTGGTTTTCCAAAACTGTTGAAACTCCAAAACTCCTGTTGTAATTGCTATGAAATGAATGAGCAGGTTACGAGATCCTAAGCCTACATATATCTCGTTTTTCCAGTCTACAGTACACGAAAAAAATTCATCTGCATATTCATCTGGTCACAGTTGGAGTCTGCTTTCGTTTTTACTTTCTGTTCCTGTCTGGTTTGGTGATATTGTTCGGGCACTGGTTCAGTTCGTCGGAGTACAATCTGTGGTGCTCATATTATACTGTTACGCCGTTGTATCCTGGGAAGCGGACGCTCTTTTAAACCTCAAGCACAGACGGTGAGGGAGCGAATCTGTTTTAAGGAAACTGTGTGAAACACAGACCTCGGGCTAAAAGTTTCCTGTCATTTAACTTCTGCGATTATTTGTTTTGTCACTCGTTTATGCAAATTTGTGTTTCTCGTTCTGCTTAAATCAACTTTTACACTTTACTGTGATTTAACATATTGTCGCGTTTGCTACTGTATTAAATTTGTTGTAGATATTTGAATCCATTGTATTCAAAGTTTTGAATCTGCTACTGCGAATTCGGTATCCAATATTGAAACAATTTTCCTACATAAAGAGCTAAAAATATTCGAGGTAGTAGCTCAAAGCGATTTACAGATCATGCTAATCAAATCAGCAAAACTTTTCAGTCTATAGAAGAAGGATGAGCAAGCTACCTTTGACCCGTCCAGATAAAAATTTCAAATTCGTCGAGGTAAAGCAAATTCCTGGATCCTAGAACAACCAAGCTGATGCTTAGCTAGAGTCACAAAATAGAAGAGCTTGATAGCATCCCATTTCGAAAAGTTTGACACTTCGTCACGAAGAAGAGTCTGTATAAATGTCCATCGACCTAAAGTCGCTTGGATAGATGGGATCATCCAATTTCTGAAAAATGGAACGATTCTAGCAGACTCAGTTGGAGGTCGAAAATTGCAAGGGTAATATATTGCATAAAAATAAAAGGGTTTTTGACTGCGCCTACTAAGGTGCCTAAATAAAGAAGAGGCACTCTACACTTTGTAAATAGTGTATGAAGGAATCTGTTGTAATCACGTCGGGGCACAATTCCTAGCTCCCAAAATATTAAGGTAAGGATATTTTTTTTCCAAACCATGAAGCCCTAGATTTTGTAAGAAGATGCGACAAATGCCAGCGCCTTGCACTCATAATTTGAGCTCCGCCAGCAGAGCTCGAGTCCATCATTAGTGCATGGTCGTTCTCCAAATGGGGGATAAATCTAATTGGACCAATGCCCATAGGAAATGCATAACCAAATTCGCCATAGTTATGTAGACTACTTCATCAAGTGTGCAAAAGTTGAGCCTCTCGCTAAAATTATCGAGCAAAAGGCGACTGACTTCAATTATACAAATTTAGCATACTTCACTCATTTGTGTCGGGAAACGAGAAAATATTTTTGCATGCGTTTTTGGCATTTTTTTAAGCATTTTTTTAAGTTGAAAAACGATATAAATCTCATTTCAACTTAAAATAATAAGTAATTAATTTTAAACTTCAAACAATACAAGGTGTTATTTATTATTTTTAGTAAAATGTATTTTTGTCTCTTCGATTGATTATGATGACATATTTTTGAACTTTTCTATCTTTTTCAATAAAAAGTGTTCGTTAGCCTTTAGTAAAATAATAAAATATGGAATGTCAATCGTAAATTTTAGAGCAACCAGAGGTAAAATGTAAAAACACTGTGTATCTATATATGTGCAAGGTTTTGGGAAGAAGATATTTTTGAATATTAATTTTTAAGAGAATGTTTAGTTAAAATGTAAGGAAAAGTTTTGTATCTACGTGTAATATTATTTTATTAAAAAATGTGTGATTTAAAATAAATTTTTAAAAAAATGTATTTTTGGCTTAATGGAGCCCAAACGAGGGCTTTATATCGATAAATCTTACAACATTTTTTCGCTACAAAATTCAAGTACAAACAAATAATAAATTGAGTTGACAAAATATAGAAGATAGAAAATAAAAAATAATGACATAGAGGGAGAGTTTTTATCTATTTTTATTTAAATAAAAAATTTCAAATAGTTTATTTAAATAACCAATAAGATTTTAAACTATTTTTATTTCTTTTGGAATTTAATTTTTATTAGTATTTTTTAGATTTTTTATTTAAACAAATTTTATTTAAATATTTATTTCCAGTGTTTTGAATATTTATGACGTTTTCACTGTAAACACGGAAAATGTTAAANTAAACAAATTTTATTTAAATATTTATTTCCCGTGTTTTGAATATTTATGACGTTTTCACTGTAAACACGGAAAATGTTAAAAATATAATTTGAGTATTATCGTACTTGTTTGTTTCACTTTAATTTTTTGTCTCAAGTAGAAGAAATCAAATAGTTGCTCTTTCAAAAAGTCACTTCTTTATTCATTTCATCTGACAAAAAATGACATTTTACTGTGCAATTTATTTTTTCGATCGTGTTACAAGTACATCACCCCTTACATAAGGGGTGACATAATAGCCAAGTGGCGCCTTCTCATTGGAGGGGCGCCTCGGCCCACATGTGGGGCCTCGGCACTCCTCCAATGAGGAGGAGCCACTTGACTATTATGTCACCCCTTATGTAAGGGGTGATGTACTCTTAGCATTATTCATTTTTTTTTCATATCACTGTACTTATTCTGTCCCTTCCCTGAAAAAATGTTCACAGTACTTGTAAAAAATATGATATAAATGGAAGTCACAAAGACAATAAATTATGAAAATTAACTCGCTTGCAGAAATGATGCATCACATGATTCGATAGAAAAATGAATTCTACTCCTAACAACAACGCCAGATAAATGCATATTATAAGTTTTACTTTATTTATGAAAATGCTTTTAAAAATATTAGACAAAATGATTTTTTTAATTATTTTACAAAATTGAAAGATGAAAACAGCAAAACCAAATCGAACACTTTTTTTGAACTATTCCGCAGTGTTTGATTGGAAAAAATTATTTTCATGGAAAATGATATTTTTTCACCCAAATTTCAACTTTTAAAATGTGTGATCGTTATTTTTTTTTTTTGGAAAAATATTTTCCTAACCTTTGAAATATCAACTACAATGTCAAAGTTAACCTACAGCCCTGTTTCATAGACATGATTTTTTATGGAATTTTCTATTTTCCAACTTTTGCACTTTTTTGATAGCAAAATTTTCCCCGATTTTTTTTTTCCACATTTCCTTATTTTCTAGCTTTTTGAGGAAAATGTATTCTTATTGTTTTGGTTGTTTTTGATTTTCCAGGTTTTTGTTTTTTTATTTGCAATTGGAAAAAATTATAGATACAATGGTAAAAATTTTTATCATTTTTATTGACAATTTTCATGTAAAACAAAGCTAAACGAATGGTAGTCGGTATAGTAATTGTTTTTTCTAATTTTTTTTTTTTTTGCAATTGAAACAAATTCTAGACCCAATAGTAGAAAAAATTAGCACTTTAATAGACAATTTTCATTAAAAATGATGTCAAACAGAACCAAACTTTCAATATTTTTCAGGTGAAAAATTATATCAATCAAACACAATTAATTACAATTCTTAATAAAATAATTTTTAAGCAATTCAGTTTTATATAAAACATTTTGCCCCTGTTTGACACCAATTATTTTGAAGAATGAGTTTTTGAATAGTGATTGATGTAAAGAATGTGTGGTTAAAAAGTAAGAAGAATTTTTCTGTTTATGTGTAATATTATTTTATTTGAAGAATGTGTGGTTAGAAATGAGTACCGTAAAAAAATGAGAATAGAAATTGGATAAAAAATGAGTGTCAAATAGGGTATTTATTTTCACTCATTTTTAACCTTTGCAATCAAATGGACCATACGTGTCACAATATTTTAAGTGGTAGATTAGTCAAATCGCTTAAAGCGGGAAAATCCGAAAACCGTACTCGTTTAACCCAGAAAACCAATAACACCAGGCTCACTAGCGGCAACAGAACAAAGTGCATTTTCTGATGGCGGGAGGGCGACCGATAAGGGCGCTGAACGTGGCGGAGAAGCCGTCGGTGGCAAAGGCGGTGTCAGGAATACTCTCGAAGAACCCATCGAGCGGGGGGCTAAGAGTGCGAGACGGGCGGTCAAGATACAACAAGATCTTTGAGTTTAATTACACAATTCAGAACCAGCAATTTCACATGTCTTTTACTTCCGTCACTGGCCATCTCATGGAGCTCGAATTCGAGGAACGCTATCGCAAGTGGCATTCCTGTGACCCCGTTCAACTCTACCAAGCCGCCGTCAAGAAATATGTCCCCGAGGTACAAGCTTTTAATACTTTTGGAGTACAATTAAGTGACCGGCTAATTTTAGTTAGTACATCTCGCTGCAAAATATGCACCCTTCTATATGGACGGGATGATTACTGCTATTGGCAATTCATTTTTCGAAGATTAGGAGTGGGGTGGGCGGATGTTATTATTACAAAAGCAGCAGAAATGTCTTCTAATTCGATATGGAGGTTGATAATTGAAAGGAATTTGTTTAGCTTTTACAATATTTGAACTTTTCAGTATGAAAAAAACATTTTGGGTTTTTAAACAAACATTGATTTTTGCAGTTTCAATCAAAGAGTTGTTTACACCATGTTGATATACATAAGCAGAAAGGCATGAGCTACACTAGTTTTGTTAGCATTATACATAATCTGAACTGTATTACAATTTTTACTTTCGCCCTTGAGTACCACTGAATAAAGAAAGCTTTCGTTTTTATTTCTTTGTATGAATTTAGGATAAGTTAGATATCAAGAGGACGCTGGAAGAAGAAGCTAGAAGGTGTCAGTGGCTTATCCTGTGGCTTGATTGCGATAGAGAAGGAGAAAATATAGCATTTGAAGTCGTTGAAGTTTGCACACAAGCAAATCGAAATCTAAACATCTGGAGAGCTCGTTTCTCTGCATTAATTGACAGGTTCTGCTTGGCTGTGGCATATCCTTATTTATTCATTTTTGCCATCTCTAACATTTTATAATCAAAACTGGATGTGCAGAGAAATTCATTATTCAATGCAACATCTTCTTCGACCTAATCAACTGTTTGCCGATGCAGTAGATGTTCGACAAGTAAGTTAGAGCAATTTGCTTTGTCAGATTTATTGTTTACCAATGTCTCTGGAACACTTTCTCTTATCACGTATTCAGTTCCTTTTATTTTCTCTTTTTTATATTGCTTCATTTTTCTATTGATTGTCACCATGACATACTTGACATACAGCCTGCCATATACAAACTGTGCTCCGATGGTGTAGGTTTCAAAACTTTATATACCAATGAACTCTTCATTGAAATTATTTTGTTGCAATGCCAAATTGGAAGAAGTAAGCCAATTTGAAATGTTTTGCAGGAAATAGATCTCCGTATAGGTGCTTCTTTCACTAGGTTTCAGACTATGCTTTTGAGAGATGCATTCAACCTTGATTTCACTACGGATGACAAAAATATCATATTAAGCTATGGTCCTTGCCAGGTAAACAACCTTCCCCCCTGAATCCCTCCCCTCAACCAAAAAAAAAAAAGAAGAGAAAAGAAATTAAAAAAAGAAAAGGAAAAGAAGAAAACAACAAAGATGTATAAAGAAAATTATGAATGAGAAATTCTGATTTATTAATTGATGCATCTGAATTGCAGTTTGTCTTTGTGTCATCTTTAAACTCTTGTTTCCTGCATATTTTCACAAATTTGCATTTTTTCACGTTGTCATCATTTTCCACAGTTCCCCACACTGGGCTTTGTTGTGGAGAGATTCTGGGAAATACAATCACATGAACCTGAAGAGTTCTGGACAATTAACTGTACTCACAATTCAGAGGAAGGCCTTGCTACCTTTAGTTGGATGTAATTATTGTTTGTCTTGCCATCTTATAGTATTATTTTCCTCAATCAAATTCAGAAAAATGACGACATCTATTAATTTTGTGACTTAGCAGGCGTGGGCATTTGTTTGATTACACATGTGCGGCAATAATATATGAAATGTGTGTCCAAGAACCCACTGCAACTGTGAGTCTCAATGAAGACTAACCAATTTCAGAAAATCCAGCTCTTAGTCATCTGCAGAATTCACAATTTTATTTCCTCCAGGTAACGAGAGTTAGACAACAGGAGAAGCTGAAATATCCTCCTCATCCTTTAAGTACAATTGAGCTTGAGAAACGCGCATCACGCTACTTTCGTATGAGTTCTGAACACACCATGAAGGTCAGCTTCTATAAGTGAATTGTTGGAAATATGAGAAACTGGATTGTGTATTTCTTTTCATTAGAATTACAAGCTATCTCTATGAAAACCTATGCTAAATCTACAAGAAATAAATCTGAATGGCAGTGCATAAGGAAAAGGATAAATGTGTTTGCAGTAATTAAGAATCTCATTTGGTTTCTTCAAATTTCTTCAAATCTCTGATTTCTTCACATCTTTGATTTGTTCAATACTATGATTTGCTAGAAATATCATATATTTGGCCATATTTGTCAACAATCTTCAACACTCCCCTCAAGCTAGTTCAAAGATATCCGTCATTCCAACTTACTAATGCAGGAGAGAAATAAAGGTCTTGGTATTCCTTGAGAAAGTGTCTATCCACTTCAGCATGTTTAATTCGATGATGTTGAACTGGATTATGAGCACTATTGATGTCCACTGTTGTCAGACTAAAGCTTCATTACACCCGGTCGAATGACTTGTAACTCCATGAGAAAAGTCATGAACCACATGAACCCACAAATCTTTGAACTCAGCTTCAGCACTAGATCGCATGCCGATTTTTTCTCACTCTTCCAAGTAACTAAATTTCCGCCAACAAACATACAATATCCAGACCTTGATCTTGTGTCATTTACTAAACCAGGCCAATTTATATGCCTTTACTTGAAGATGGTAATTCCTTGAGAAAAAAACACTTTTCCAGGAGAATTTTTCTAGTGTCTCACTATCCGCAGGACTGCTTCCATGTGAGCTGCACCAGAAGAGTGCATAAACTGACTTACCACATTAACAATAGATACAAATTACAATGTCTGGTTTTGTGTGAGACAGATACAACCTCTTACCAAAATCTAATAATGACCTTAGTCACCTGTATTACTTTCAACTGTTGCTCCCAACTTATTTTTAAGATCAATGAAAACATCAGCTAGCTTACAACCTAACATCCGTATCACTTTCAACTATTGATCTGATTCAAGTGGCATAGGCTGCATGTGTATGCCTGTCTTTGAGACCTTTATATATTCTTGCTTGATATTTTTTTTAAATTGTTATCCAGCAGGTGCACTCTGGATTTATTTCAAATAAGAGTCGTTGATGTCAATGTATAAATTGTAATAGACAGGATAATGTCCTCTAATACTATGGTTTATCGTTGAATTTTTTTCTTAGAATAATGACCTCTATCTTGCTTTTTTGCTTTATCTAGCCAGTTTAGGGATGATGTATGGTACAACTGTACAAGATGATTAATTCTAGATATATGCTTTTCCCAATAGGTGGCGGAAGATTTATATCAAGCTGGTTTTATCAGTTATCCCCGCACTGAGACTGACGGCTTTTCTGAGAGAACAGATTTGTGCGTAAGTAACTACTATTTTCTTAGTCATATAAAGTAATTGTTTTTTGTTCGTAGAGCACTTGTTAACGTGCAGGAACGGGTACAATCATTATTAGAAACAGTAGCTTCATGGTGCGATACTTATTATTGATTCACATATTAGTAGCATGGATGCTGTGATAACTAGAAGGTTTGAGAGTGACAAAAGAAGTGAAATATAATTTTGTTTGAGGGAAGAAAATTAATGTAAAACTTCTGATGGTTAGGATGCCTTGGCAAGTCAGAAGTCATTGATTCCAAATAAATACAAGGATCTTTTTTTTTTCCCATTATCCCCGCTCCATTATATCTGTTCTTGGATATAGTTCTCTACATAAGCTCTGTCTAATGACGATCAAAATTTATTTCATGATGCTAAATAGCTCATTAAATACTTCACTTTTTATAATGCTTTTACAACCATTTATGCAAGAAGCTTCCTTCAACATCTTCTTCTTATTTGGAGTATAGATGATGGTACAAGAGCAGCAAGTGCACCCTGTATGGGGCTCATATGCCCAAAGGTTGCTGGATCCTGAAGCACGACTTTGGAGAAATCCTAGTGGTGGTGGGCATGATGACAAAGCCCACCCTCCTATTCACCCAACGAAATTTTCGGCTGGAGAAGCTGGATGGAGTCAAGATCACCATGTTAGTACCACCTTTCACACAATTTGTTAGTTAGGGTGAAATAAGCAGATGAAATTCATGTAATTTTGATCTTTGTATGAGTGAAATCCATATCTGAATGTCAAGTGAATTTGTTCCATAACAGAAATTATATGAACTGGTGGTTCGCCATTTCCTGGCCTGTGTTTCGCAACCAGCGGTAGGGGCTGAAACTACAGTTGACATTGACATTGCAGGAGAACTGTTTTCGGCATCTGGGAGAATGATAATTGCAGTGAGTTTATGTTGCACTCTGTTTGTTTCTTTGGAATGTTTTTAAGGTAGCTGCCTATTCTGTTAGACAAAGTTTAGCATTTGCATTTTTCCATGAATCTCACTAGTTCTAAATTCTTGGAAGATAAAAGTTAAATGTGCTTTGAAGTTCATTCAGAGTTTGCACTATTTCTTTGAAAAGGAACCAGAAGAATCTAAGCATGTCTTAAAGATTGGAGATTTATATATTTAGTCCTTGTTGGATAGGGATTAAAATCAGATTTTTAGTAGATTTTGATATAAGTTGATGAAATGTGTGGTTGAAAAGTTGTGGGTTCCATAAAATGTGTCGTTGAAATTAGTTATTGACTTTGACTTCGATTAAAAATTGGATTTTAATTTCTATCAAACAGGGGCTTAACCTTATGTGGTCTTAATGCGGAGGTGCATATAAATTTAACATTCTAGTAACTAGTGATTGAGAATTATAGTTTGTTGAAATACACTTTCGTTAGCGAAAGTAGACCAGAGAATGCGATCGCATTATAATGTCGCAATTGAATAGATGGAGCAAGCTTGAATTGACACAGGGTTGCTCTTCTTTTTTTGGTCATATTCCCTTTACTGCAATGTCTTTGTGACTTGAGACTCTGCCCATGAACAGGAAGGAAAGAATACTTGGATTTTTATTCTGTAACTTAGATTTTCAATCTATTTTTTCTTAGTCTCTAGTTGAAGCCTACTTCCTTTCATTATGGACTTGCTGGATTTTCCCCTTGGATCTTGTCAGTTTTGACAGCTTGGCGATATGTTTTAGAAGTACACATCTCAGAAAAAAAACAGCGTTTTCTGCTTCTTTATTTATGTTCCTTAGCTGAGGCTCTTAATATTTTTTTTATATTTCAAATTTTTCACAAAGAAGCAAGAGAGTGTGTTTAACATGATTGACAATGGGAGCTTTTAGAAGGGACAGAAATAATATTCATGAAAATAAATCATGGAAGGATGTTTAGGACTTGCCTCTTCTTTCTTATTATGAAAGGAGCACGAAACTCGTAAGTTTTGGTTTAGAATTTTTGACTTTGACATCTGTCATTGGTTTTGTCAAGTGAGCAAACTTATGCTACTGTGCTAGTTAGACATTAATTAGAACGTTGTGGGTACTAGCTCTATTATATACTCCATCCCATGAAGTGCATTGTTATAACTCGTGTTTCTTCATGTTGAAGATAAGATTTAAATGATGTACATGTGGCACTCTCTAACAATTTAGCTTTTAGAACTAGTGGTTCAACATAGCATCGGGCATGCAAAGGTCTGGAGTTTAAATTTTGCCTTTACCCGTTTAATGAAATTGTGGAAGTGTCGGGCTTTTGATGGGAAAAAATGAAATCAGCCTACATGTAAGGGAACTTGACAAAGATAAGATTAAATGATATAAATGTGACCTTCTCTAACGGCTAAGCTTTTAGATTAAATGTTCCAACACCTCCTAGAAAATACAACATAACTTAATGAGGAATTTCCACATTTAGATAGAAATATGTAATTAAATTTCAAGCAGTTGGACAAATGTGTTAATGATTTTTCAATGATAGTTTCCTTTTTTCTTGTTAAAACTTATTTGGTTGATTTGTATTGACCAGAAAAACTACTTGGATGTATATCGATTTGAATCATGGGGTGGTTCAATGATCCCAACATACAATTTTGGACAACAGGTTTGTTTATTATAATCTCACTATCGTCTAAATGTCTTAGAGAAAGTGTTGCTACTTTGTGTCTGTATCCATTTTTTTACATGTTATGAATTTTGCTTCTTTTGGTGCATAATTTATACACAATATTAAGCATATGGTACCTTACCTAAGTGACTGATTTGCTGACACTGTAAATAAAAATTTCTTTTACTACAGGAGGATTTGTCATCATTTATTATTTTATTGATTCTCTCTCTTCTTTCTATTTTGAATTGACCCCATTTTTTGTTTTATAAATTATATTTTCTCTCCACACCTAAATGATGATGGTTTCTGTGAAATATATCTTTAATCTTGTATGTCATGGCTGAATTGATTTATTGTTTTATCTAGATCACGAGCCAGTGTAGTGTGGATAATGGACATACGTTCCGTACATTCAATTGACCAATAGGAAGGAAGAAACTTAATGGCTGATTTAATTATTTATAAAGGAACGTGCCTTGAATTGATTTTAGCACGCTTCTCTGCATCTTATGAAGGTAATCTGAAATCGCATATTTCTCTTAGTAAAAAAGGCAAGTACTGTTTAGCATCACTCCAAATTAGAACTATGGAGTACTTTGAATGGAAATTGTCTTTTCTTGCTGGATTGATATGTCAAAATTTTGCGATGTCTTCAAAAACAGTGCATCTTGATATGTGATTGCATATTACAGAAGAATAGAGATATAAAATAATTATATTTGATATAAAAAATTTTAAATATCAAGTTACTTAAAAAAAAAATAAATATATTTTATGACTTATTTTGGCAATCCTCAAACCAAAAAGGGGAGAAGGGGAAAAAGAAGAAAAAGAAGAAGAAACAACTTCGGCCAATGAGTGTATACTCATAGTCACCATTGATTTCATATGATTATATCCTTTATTTCACAGGGTCGTTCATTTAATTTATCCAGCTGTTTCATTGAAACAATCTAGAATATGTATGGTGTTCTCTAATGGTTGATGGTGTGTGGCAGTTTACCCCAGCAACATTAACTCTTGATTCAGGAGTTACTAGGCCTCCACCTCCTTTAAGTGAGGCTGATTTGTTAAGTTGTATGGACAAGGTGAGCAATGTAAATTGTGATGCAATTATTTCTCATTTTTGTCTACCTTAAATTCCATGAATTTCATAAAAGGTTTAATGATATTGACGATCTGCATGCTTTACTCATTTGTAATAGGCAGGCATTGGGACAGATGCAACAATGCATGATCACATAAAAAAGCTCCTTGATCGATTCTATGCCACAAAAGACTCAAATACTCGTTTCTCACCTACGAAACTTGTAAGTCCTTTCCTTCCCATATACATTATTTGTTGTTTCAAGCACAACTTTCCCTCATTTCTCCCTCCTCCTCCTCCTCCTTCCCCATCCTCTCCCAATTTGTTATTAATACGATAGAGGTTGCTTTGATTAGAAACATTACATGACAATTTTTTTTTGTTATAATAGCATTTCACTTAAGAGTGAAGGAAAATAAGTTCATTTACAATATAGTCGTATGATGCAATTGCATTCATATGACGCTTAAGGTGATATAAGAAACACCCACACTCATATTCCCTCTTTCTTTAAAGGATACTACTAGTCTATGAGATTAATCATCAGGTGCATGAACTAGCACAGGAAAGAATACCAGAGTTTCCCTACATTCACAGCTTACAGGCGTTGAATTTCTTCTCTTTTCTGATATACTTGCATGTCAGAGTGCTACAGAATATGATTTACTGTAATTAAGAAATTCTGACCCCAGTATAAGAACTCTTCTTGCCAATTTGAGCCTAATGGTCAACATGTTGTGTATGTTTAAATGATTGTTCAGCAGGTAGTATTCTTTAGCATTATTTTGTGTCTTGATAATCCATTTTATTCTTCATTCAAGCATTATATCACTCTGATGCATTTTTGGAGATATGAGAAAGAGATTATGCAATGTCAGTATTGTATTTTTTGAGATATTACCATTCCATCTAAATATTTCTAAAAAGTATGTGAGTTTGGAAATTTTAGAGGAACATCAACATTCGTCCTCCAGCTTCTCTTCTTCATCGGCTTTTGTAATATATTCATGTATTCTTATTATATCCTATGGTCTGAGCTTCATATTTCTGAGTTTCTTGTTTCTGTCGAACATTTTGTTTCTTCAGAATATTTATAAATCTAACGAGCCTAGTGTAATTTCAGGGCGAGGCTCTGGTCATGGGATATGATGATATGGGGTGAGCAATTTATGTCAATTTCAGTTTTCCTTTAGGTTGTCTTTTTCTAATTGGATATAGTCTTTCATATAACTTTGTGTGTGTGTGTACTATCTCTGTATGTGAGTTGCATGTCTGTTAAATGGGGATAGATACAGATTTCTAACATAATAATAGTGGCTGATTGATTTCACAATATTGCTCTGATCTTTTAGCTAAACACTTTTATGTTGAAAATGTGATATGTGCATTATCTGAAATGAAATAGAAGCACTCATTAATAAACATTGCAAGCTGGTTTCTACCCAAACGACAGGTGAACAACAGGAAATTTCTTTCCAAAGTAATCATCGAAACTCCTAAGATTGGAGTTAATTTGTTACATGACCATAATGTACAGATTTGACCTAGAATTCATTAGCTTGCACAATTTGCTCACAGGGTGAACCAGAAATGGCAGCAGTGGACAATCCAAAGTCTGCCTACTAACTTCAGAACTCTATAGTAACTTGTCTATACAATAGAAAGCTATATACTGTTCTATTTTCTAAGCACATATCTTAGATTTATAAAGCATTTGTCTTAAACTATTGCCCATTACATACATTTTGACTTTTTGAACATGATTTGAGAAACCTTTTGTCTATGCAATAAATGTTTCCCACTTTATAATCCTACACATGTAGTTATGCTGAGCAACTAGTTTATATTCACAAAGGAGGTAATTGTAATACCCAGACCAGGAAAGTTTTAAAGATTTGATAGGTACTACTCATACCAACAAGGTGCACCTTTTTTTCCGAAAGTCCTTCGTTAGAAACTCTACAGTTAAGCATGCTTGGCTTGGAGCAATTTTATGATGGGTGACCCCCTGGGAAGTTTTCTTGGGGAGCGTGCGAGTGAGGATAAAGTATGCTGAAAAGACTCATGTTGGTACAGTGGAGACAGTACGTGTCGATCTAACGACTAGGACAGCCCGTTAAGTGGGACCTAGGTCGTTACAAATGGTATCAGAGTCCGGTTGCCAGTCGAAAATCGAGAACTAAGTGCTATGCGAGACGAAGTGCTACACCATAGGGGCGAGAGCCACCTCTAGAATCCCAACGCCTAGCAACGTATCCTCAGATGGATTAAGCGCGACGAGGACATCGCGAGTCTAAAGGGGGGTGATTGTAATACCCAGACCAGGAAAGTTTGAAAGATTTAATAGGTACTACTCATACCAACAAGGTGCACCTTTTTCGTAAGTCCGTCGTTAGAAACTCTACAGTTAAGCATGCTTGGCTTGGAACAATTCTATGATGGGTGACCCCCTGGGAAGTTTTCTTGGGGAGCGTGTGAGGATAAAGTATGTTGAAAAGACCCATGTTGGTACAGTGGGGATAGTACGTGTCGATCTAACGACCGGGACATCCCGTTAAGTGGGACCTGAGTCGTTACAATGGTATCAGTGCCGGTTGCTAGTCGAAAATAGGGAACTAAGTGCTATACGGGACAAAGTGCTACGTCATAGGGCGGGAGCCATCTCTTGAACCCGTAGAAGCCACCTCTAGAATCCCAATGCCTGGCAACGAATCCTCATATGGATCAAGTGCGACGAGGACGTATAATATGATGATGGCTGCGGCGTAAGGACGGGTCGTTTGTAACGACTCAGGTCTCTATACCCAAACCGTTAGATTGCGTACTGTCCGCTTTGGGTGGACATATGCCCACTTATCCCTCACGGCTTTCTATCGCGTCTACCAAGATTTAACTTAAGTCTCTTATATGATGGAGGTCTTGGGTTCGAATCCTGAGGGACGCGATAGAAAGCCTTGGGTCGTTACAGAAGTATGTCCACCCAAAGCGGATAGTACGCAAGCTAACGGCTTGGGTATAGAGACCTGGGTCGTTACAGTAGTAGGGAATCATTTTACATTCGACGCCGTACATCTAATGTCAAAGCATTTTTCTTCTGTCATTTTCATCATTTACCTATCTCCACCTCAAGTTTCTTGTCAACTTCTCAATGTTAGTTGATGAGATACGAATACAAGCACAAAAGTGAGAAGCTTGCGGATTTAGCATGACATTGATGTGGGTCCCTCTGCTTCATTTCTACTGAAACTAGAGCTAGTAGACAAATAGACTGAAGTCCAATTTATTTATGCTGATTGAAACCTATTTTTATCATCCTTCTATCTTTAAAGTGCTGTGAAGAAATTTGCCCGCTCAGCTACTAGATGCTATAAATTTTCTTGGTCTAGACTCTCGCTTGAGCTATAGACACGAGTCTTTACAGTCATGAATATGGATGTGTATATACTGTCAACGGATAGCTTTGCTGTCCACTCTTGTTTCCTTATTTTAGCCCACTATTGTTTCCTTATTTCTCCATTTATTATTCTGTACAGTTAACATAAATTATTTGACAGATTATAGTTTACATGTATAGGGCTAGAATCATGCGGGAACTTATTTGCTTTCCATACATAATATACAGAACTCAAGGCCAACTGATTCGGCCATTCATATAATATTTTGACATGGCATCAAGAGCCGCCTGCTAATTTTATTTTTTTTCCTGGAATTTTCTCTCTTCTCGGTTTCGGACGTGCCACCTTTGTGTTTCGGTCAAGTTTGTGTGGTTTTGTGGTGCATCAGTTGTCTCTTTGCAGCTTGTCTTGGTGTTTTTCGATACAGTACCGTCGGTTTTTGGTTCTTTCTTTTGTCTTGGCTTCTATTTCTTTTCTATGGATTCGTACTTGTGTGTGTTAAGTTTACGGGCACAAATTATTCTATCTGGACATTTCAGTTTGAACATTTTCTCAAGGGAAAAGCTCTTTGGGGTGATGGCACATATGTCGCACAATCATCCACTTTTGACAAATCTCAAGATGACTGGTCTTCTCCTTCATGGGCTGTGCTTGATGCACGCATCATGTCTTGGCTTCTTAGTTCCGTGGAGCTCCATATTGTCACCAACTTGCGGCCCCATCGCTCTACTCAATCCATGTGGGCTTACTTGAAGAAGGTTTATCATCAGGACAATGATGCTCGTCGCTTTCAGTTAGAACATGCGATTGCCATGTTTCAACATGGTAGTCTTTCCATCGAGGACTACTACTCGGCATTTCTAACTCTCTGGCATGAATATGCTGATTTGGTTACAGCGGATGTTCCTGTTGCAGCTTTTTCAACTGTTCAGACTCTTCACGCGACTACCCAGCGCAATCAATTTCTTATGAAACTACGTCTTGGATATGAATCTGTCCGCTCCTCTTTACTAAACAGATCTCCTGTTCCCTTTCTTTATGTTCGTTTTGGTGAGTTACTTCGCCTAGAACAACGTCTTCGTACGCAAGCTGCTCTGGAGCTATCTCATGGCAGTTCCGGGACAGCAACTGTGGCTTATGCCGCTCAAGGACGCAAACCACCTGTGCATTCTAAAACCTTGCAGCGTTTCTGCTGCAAGGAATATGGGCATATTGCTGCCACTTGTCCGAAGAAATTCTGCTCTTATTGCAAGAAGGGTCGCATTATCAAATAATGTCGTAGTCGCCCCCAGAATCGTCAGGCCTAAGCATTTCAGACTTCGGTTATTGTCCCTCCCGCAGCGACTTCTGCAGCACATGGCTCTCCTTCAGATACGACCTCTGTTCCTACATCTCCTGCACCTAATTACTGCACCCTAGAAATGGTGCAACAGATGTTAATTTCGACATTATCAGCAATGGGGTTCCAAGGTAACAATTCTACAAAACTCTGGTACGTGGACTCAGGGGCTTCTAATCATGACTAATAATCCCACCGCTTTGTGTCATGTTCGGCCCTATGCTGGTCAATCAACTATTCTGACTGCCAATGGCAGTTCTTTGCCAATAGCAGCTGTCGGAGATGCCTCATGCATCTCCTGCACCGGATTACTGCACCCCAACTGTCGGAGTACACGCATTTCTAGGAATGTTATTTTCTTTGAAAATCAACATTTCTTTCCTGTGTCCTCTATGCCATCCTCTTCTACTGTGGTTCTCCCCTCCTTTGAGCAGCGGTTCTCAAATCTTCCTCCAGTGAGTTCTCGCTTTAAACCAGGTTTTGTGTATACGAGACGCTCCCGCCCACAGTCTCTTTCAGTGGCTTACCTGATATTTGATCCTACCATGCTTCGGATTCACTCAGTTGTAGCATCTTCAGGGTCTTTGGTACGTCGCTTTTCTAGAGTGTCTGTACCCCCAGATAGGTATGGATTTCCCTCTTCTAGTTCTGGCAATTCTATTTCGGCTCTTACTGCTGCATTGTCCAACTTTGATATTCCCACATGCTACTCACATGCTGCCAAGCATGATTGTTGGCGACAAGCTATGCAGGAAGAAATTGCCGCTCTAGAGGCCAATCACACCCGGGACATTGAGCCATGTCCTCCCACTATTGTTCCTCTAGGTTGCAGATTACTCAGTCAAATCTGATCAGATGGAAGTTTGGATCGTTACAAAGCACGGCTCGTGGCACTTGGGAATAATCAGGAATATGATGTTAATTATGAAGAGACCTTTGCTCCTTGTTCGTACGATTCTAGCTCTTGCTGCTTCTAGTGATTGGCCACTACATCAGATGGATGTCAAAAATGCTTTTCTTCATGGGATCTTAAAGAGTGTATTTATATAAAGCCACCCCCAGGATTGTTTCCCTTTCCGACTTCACATGTGTGTAAGCATCGCTTTATGGTTTCAAACAAGCTCCGAGGGCTTGGTTTGATAAATTCCGTACCACTTTATTACAATTTTCATTCAAGCAGAGCAAGTATGACACTTCATTGTTTCTTCGGAAATCAGACATGGGTATTGTTGTTCTTTTGGTTTATGTTGATGATATTGTGATTACTGGTTCCGATTCTGCTTTACTTGGCCAGCTCGAAACTCATCTCTCAGAGTCCTTTCATATGAAAGATCTTGGGTCTCTCACATATTTTTTTGGTCTTGAGGTGCATCGTAGTCCCTTTGGCATTTTCCTCAATCAACAATATAAATATGCTGGTGACTTGGTGGCTACAGCTGGCCTACAAGAGTCTACTTCTGTTGTTACTCCTATGGAATTAAATGTCAAGCTTCGCAAAGAGGAGGGTGACTTACTTGCTGATCCCAGTTTATACCGAAAGTTGGTGGGTAGCCTTGTTTATCTTACCATTACTAGACCGGACATTTCTTTTGCTGTACAGCAAGTCAGCCAGTTCCTTCAGACTCATCGTCATCTTCATTTGGCTGATGTCCGTAGGATCTACGCTATGTTCAAGGCACTTCTGCCCGTGGCTTATTCTTCCCTGCAAGCAATGCTACTCGCCTTGCTGCTTATAGTGATGCTAATTGGGCTGGTTGTGCGGATACCCGTCGCTCCATCACTGGTTGGTGTGTGTTCTTGGGTGATGTATTGATCTCCTGGAAAAGTAAGAAGCAAGACAGAGTCTCTAAGTCATCTACAGAATCTGAGTACCGGGCGATGTCTCTTGCTTGTTCTGAAATCATTTGGCTTCGAGGTTTGCTTGTTGAGTTAGATTTTTCTAAGACCGATCCTACACCTCTACATGCCGATAATACAAGTGCTATTCAGATCACGACCAATCCTGTCTATCATGAACGCACAAAGCATATTGAAGTAGACTGTCACTCTATCCGTGAAGCCTTTGAAGCTCGTGTTATCACTCTCCCACATATTTCCACTGAACTACAAATTGCCGATATCTTCACCAACGCTTTCACTCGTCATCGACATTGCTTCCTAAGTAGCAAATTGATGCTTGTTGATCAACCTGCATCAATTTGAGAGGGGCTGTCAACGGACAGCTTTGCTGTCCACACTTGTTTCCTTATTTCTCCATTTATTATTATGTACAGTTAGCATACATTATTTGACAGATTATAGTTTACATGTATAGGGCTAGAATCATGCGAGAATTTATTTTCTTTCCATGTATAGCATCCTTGTAATGTCTATATATAATATACAGAACTCAAGGCCAACTGATTCAGCCATTCACATAATATTTTGACATATGAGTATTCATATATTTATTCACAGTTATGAATTGTGGAAACCATATCTCCGTGCTATGATGGAGAGTGATATGAAAGCCGTTAGCATGGGCACAAAGAGCAAAACTGAAGTTTTGGAAACTTGCCTACAGCAAATGAAAGCTTGCTTCGTAGATGTAAGTTAATCAATTATACATCTGCCTAAACATTCTTTCTTCAAAATTTATTTTCTTTTGAAATGCTTATTGTAAATTATGTCTTCCATCATTCTTTTTCATTTTAGAACCAGGACATTTGGCACATGTTCTTTTTTCTTTTTTGGGTAAAGTTAAGCACCAGTTTCTTTCCCTTTTTTATTCTCATGTAAAAATGCACACTTTGGCATAAATTTAATACTCTAGGTTTTCTTTGTCATCATGGAACTTGAATGGACCAATCATAGCAGCATGAAGGTAGATCTGCAGGTGCATGGATGATTAGTTTATGCATTGTCAATGTGAATTATCTTCTGATATGAGTGGAAAACCCTCAACTAAGATTGCAGATCAGACTACAGATGCTGATCCACATCTATTTAATGCTAATGTTATAATGAATGTCCACCATATTTATGTTCTGTAATTTTCTTGTGCTCTTTACCCTTACGCAACTTTTATTTATATTTCTCTATGCAGGCCAAATCAAACAAAGGAAAGCTCTTTGAAGCCATGGCTGTGTTCTTTGAGAGGTAAATTTGTACTTTGTGGTGACAGATTATTGTACCTTAACTGAGAATACAAGCTGTATATGCAGATCAAACAGATCTAGTACCAATGAGCAGAACACAGTCACTGAGGTTGTTCGGAGATGTAATATCTGCCAAGAATCAGACATGGTTCTCAGGAGAAAACCGGTAATTACTTCCATGACAAACTTGTTTAGATCAATGTTGTTAATATTATACAGACAATCTCTTATTGATTAGGTAGGATTTATTTGAAGGGTTTGTAAGAAATTGCGTGGCAATCACTTGGGACAATTGGACACAAGTATTTCAAGCCAATAGTACAAAATACAACACATTGCCAGGGCTAGTGATTTGACATTGGTCTTATAGGTGTTGTGATCACTACTGTTTCTCCCCAAAGTCCACCTCTTGCTTATTCTTTTATTCTCTTCCTTTTCTGTGGTGAGAAGTGAAATCCCGAGTAGTAAAGCAATTGACACCATATAAGTATCTTAGCTTATGAAAGAACGTAATGGCGTCTTAAACTCCAATTGATAGTTAATATTGACTGCTCTGTTTGGTTATCGCAATTGGATTGAGAACTCAGTGGATTTAGTTCTTAAGGTATTATCACGCCCTCAAGTTTACTAGGAATAAAGCTTAGTTTGTTGTTATTGTTGTAGGTTTTAACCTGTCCAACAGCATCTCATCGAGTTGCTTGGTTACGAAGTTATAGTTTCAAAAGAATATTCCATCTTTGTTGGAATATCTTCATAAATGAAAAGATAATTGAAAAAATCCACGAGAAGTAATAAATTGCACCCACCAGTTTGCGGCAGTTCTCTATGAATACAATGTTCATATTTCTCCAGGAGCTCTATTTTTACTCTGCACTTTTTTCTCTCCCTTTTGGGTGAAACTAGTTGGCTTTTGAAAGGATCTATCTTTTATCTGTTCTCTTTGGAGCATTCTAGGCATAGTTAAGTTGGTATTTCTTTGTCTGAGCATCTTATGATTACCCATTTTTGCCTTTGCAGGATGGAAACTTCATGGTTGGGTGTATGGGCTTCCCCCACGTAGGTGTTTCTCTCTAATACTTTGAAAAAGAAATTTTCCAACTTCTATTGACTTGTCAAAAAAGTATCATATCGACAAATTTCGTAATGAACCACAAAGACAAGAACTGCTTCTCTCATACCATTGAATTACTGATATAATAAGATGTCTACAATTTTCATTAAGAACATTCCGTAGTTAACATAACATCCCATCCCGCATTGGTTGTGTGAGAATTGTGAAGTGATAACTTGGGTTGGCTACTACTCGACGACTGGGGATCAAGCATTTTGGCTAATGACTCCAAAAGTCCTGTACTATTAAGTTTGCCCCCTAGGTGGTTCACTTGAGTCCTTTGGCTAGTAAATTTGTCAAAGTTAAGAAAGACTGGTTGGGTTTTCTAGAAATAAAAAATGTTAAGCCTTTTCCCTTATTATTTTCAATCTGACCTTTTGTCTACTGTCCTTTTCCCTATAAACTAGTATAGGTGTTTATGGCGTTGCATATTAGTAGTTTACTCTTTACGTTTTAATAACTATAAGAAAAATAATACCGAAGTCATATGCTTTCCCAAAGAAAGTTAAGAGAACTCAAAATCTTGAATTGGAGTCAACATAGGAAAACTATACAATATAAAGGATGCTGGATTATTCTTTCCTCAATGTAAAAATATGAGATCCTATGAATTGTACTTTCCAATTTTCTATTGTGTCTCATCTGTTTTTCCTTTTCTTGTATTAATTAGTTTGGATCTTTTTCCCCATTTTTTCTGAAGTTGGTTACTAGCAACAAGTATTAACCTGTCGAGGCCTTGACTTTTATATTTGAAAGATATATGCTTGGAGGTTCTTAGAGTCATCAGCTGAATGTCTTGATAGGGATTGAACAAGAGTTTTAGGTGAAATTTGAAGAAACGGGTATATGATGCAACTTTTCATTTTTAGGCCCAAAACAATTGGTTGACCAAAAAATGCTTGCCAGTCCACATTGTATATTTTGGGTAAGGGCATTGTTTTTGGAAAGAGAATGATTATTTTGTCATTTTGTGGAAACAGGCAATTATTTGTGGACATCCTACTCTTGAAATAAGGTCACGCAGTTATGGAGAAAGGGAGTAAAATGCATAGATTGTATCACTGTGTAATGCTGTAATTTCCTTTTAAATGTGTAGTCGAAATGATGTATATTTCGAAGAATTCCATATGTGCATTTATCGGTTTATCTAGTCAACCGAGAAGTTTTGCCCTATCAAGATGAATTGTATATTTTGAGAAACTTTTACAAGATTTATACTATATACATCTATATACATTTTTTTATAAAGGCGCAAGATATTGAGCCATGTATTGTGTATATTTCTTTTGCTACTTATTCATTATTTATTGTGGAGTGATAAATGGTGATCTGTTGCTCTATTCTAGACTGTAGATAGAATTTTTGTAAGAACAGACTTATAAAATGCAATCATAAAAAGGATTGATATATTTAATAGAGAAATGAATAATAATAATAATAATAATAATAATAATAATAATAGAAAGGTTTGTTGAGTTTCAAACCTGTCACGATTCTAAAATTTGACTCACATGCTGAGAGTAGAAATTTTCAAATGCCATGAGCAGTTAACCTTTTTGTATATAGTTTAGATTTATGCATCTGCCTTCGGCTCTTGCTTAAGTGACTATTGATATATAAAAATAAATATGTAGGTGAGGTATTTTTGTTTGAGGGTTAAGTTTGACATTCAAACACTCTTCTTCTTCAGTCCTTGGTAACTTATTCTTGTTTGCTATAACTTCCCAGTGCAAGAATGTTGTCTGGCTTCCTGGATCAGTATCAGAAGCAGTTGTTACCACTAATGTTTGCAGCAGCTGTGCTCCAGGTTGTGTTATTGAAATTTTTTATCATGTTATTGTTACGACAATTTAGCTATTCAATTGATGTCAGTCCTGCAAAATTTCAAGTAGTTGACCTCATTCTTGTATGATTCTGTTACAAATAAGCTTCTGGATTTTTGTTATCCTCTATTTCATGCTATGCAAACGATGTTTACAGGACCCGTTTACCAGATTCAGTTTAAATTTCGTCGGCTGGAAATACCACCAAACTACAATGTTGATCATTTAGGTAAGCTTGAAATTTGGGAAATTTTAGTGCTCCAGTTATCTTCTGTACTTCCAAAGCAGCTATCTGTTTACTTTTCTTTCCACTTTGTCGCACAAATTCATATATATTTTGTGCATGTGTTTTAAATTTCAGAATTACAATATCACTGACTAAAATAGTAAGGGTTAATCTAGATCATGTCAATCACTTGAAATCCACAATTTTGGAGATTCTGTAGTATATTGTCTCCTAAAATTTCTCATACCAGATCAACTTTCTCAATGGAATGTGAAGAGGAATCATATATGTGGTCAATATTTCAAAGAATAAAGAGATATCATCTGTACCCAAATAAAACCCTTTTACATTAAATTATTTATGGATCATATTTAGTCATGGTGATGGTTCGAGTCCCCTCAGGGCCACTGAGGTGAGTACCCGGCCTTAAACTTCAGGGCCCGTGGAATTAGTCGAGGTGCGCGCAAACTGGCTCGGACATCCACGGTTATAAAAAAAAAAATATTTAGTCATGGTGATGGATTTGGCATCTAGTTGGCATCCATCATCAACGTGCGGCGTTGCTGTTCCACTAGGGTTACTTGTCCTGTCAAATCATTAGGCTAGTTCAATTGTAAAAAAACCTATTAGAAGTAAAGATGGTTACCTTAGTCTTAATACAACTGGAAAAACCACTTGAGCAGATTAAAACTTTTACATGGAGTATATATTCATCTTCTCTGTGTGATATAGCAGTTTGAGCAACTATTCGTAAGCATTGTCATGTCCATTTGTATTTGTGTGTGTGGTATCAACGCCTAGGCGTGAGACATGGGCAAAACGCTTTGCTGTAAGCGCGAATTAAGCGTAGCAGTTGACTGTTTGATGCTCGTCTAGTTGCACTTTGTTAATTTTTTTATTTTTTTCCTTTTTGTCCAAAAAATCTTTTATTTGATTTTAGTTTATTAACTTTTTATTTTTTTACATTTTTTCCCTTTTTTTAAAAGGCTTTTATTTGACTTTAGTTTCAAGTTTTTAAATGACTTGATTTGTTCAAAAGTAAAAAATGACTTTATTCGATAAAGATTTAGATAAGACTTAAGCTACACTATTATCTATATTATGTAATTATAATTTTGAGACTTCGAACGTATGTGTAAAGTTCCTATAAATCGAGTAAGTATGACTTGTCTAGTTGAAAGTATGAAAAATAATCTAGTTTTTGTATTTTGAAAACTTTAAAATTGTATAATTGACTAATTATAGGAATTATTAAGTAAATATAGTTTTGTAATTTTAGATATTTGGTATGTATTATTAAATGATTTTTAGAATGATTCATTATTTAAAAAAATTATAGAAATAAGTAACGCTTTTTACGCCTAAGCTCATAAAGCTTGAAGCTTGGCCTTCATGCCCAAGTACGCTTTACGCTTTTTAGAACACTAATTGATTAGAAGAAATTACAATTTTCAACATCAATGTTGTTCTTAAAATAATTCAGCTAACATTCTTTTTCATCTATTCATTACTTGTCCCATGTTTACTTTCTTGGGATTAATTGATCTATATCATTTAATGGTTATAAGGATTCGTAAAGTTTAATTGAGGGAACCTTCTGATAACTTTTTTTTCCTAGTGATGATGGCTTTTAAGAGATATCATATCATATACTATCTAAACCCAGAGTCACATAACCCCAACCCCTACCCCCAAGCCTTGAATGCTGAATTTGAAAAGTGTAATAAATCTTTACTTGTCAAATAGACTTTAGAAGACAGAAATAGGGAATCAGTTAGCATTTGGGAGAATGGAGTATGGAGGGATCTGTAAGCAACATCATAGCCATTCCATGATCTCTCTCTCTCTCTCTCTCTCTCTCTCTCTCTATTTTGGCTACATTTGAAAGTCTTTTGTGGACAAGGTTAAAATTTCTAGATTCATTGAAATTTCTCTTCCATGAGATGTCAGCAAAAGTGCAAGCATTATCAATGTTAATTACTGTGAAGTTAATTTGTTGTTTGACAGTTTATAACATGTTCAAAATGTTACAAAGTTTTTTAATACCGAGTTAAGCTGAGTTCTTCATACATCTGGTCAGGTTGCATTGGAGGCTGTGATGATATTCTAAGGCAGCTAGTGGAAATTTGTGGAACTGGTTCACGCAACAGCTCCAGTGTACCAGGTATGGAGTTTCAACGTCCTGGTGCACATATTTGGTGTTATGAAGTGAAATGTATTAACATAGTCAATGAGTAATCATAGGTTTCCCGCACTCTCTGGCTTTATATGAAGTTTCAAGGCTAATGAGAAGGCAAATTTACTGATCTGAAAAAAGAAAATTTCATTCAGGCCATATTTAGTTCGCATTATTAGGCTGGTTCAGACATGAGATTCATGACCAATCTACTAATTTGAGCATCTAACAGCAGTTGTGAAGGGGTAAGACGTGGGGGTGGGGGGGACACATGATATTTATTATGCACTATTTTCCATTTTGTGGTTGGGTTGAATTTATTTTATGTGGGATGAAATCCCCCGTCGCATTAAAATATTCTCTTCTACCACTTTTTTAGCAATGAAATTGATGACAACGTTTCACCATCAAACTTATTAAACACATACTGTCATAATTTCTAGAAAAGAGAAATTCATGTTGTATTCATCTGTTAAGATTACAATACAATATATTATTAACTGGTTTTGTTAAATGGGAGATAAAACCCCCAGTCGCATTAAAATATTCTCTTGTATCACTTTGTTAGCAATGAAATTGACCACAATGCTTCACCATCAAACTAATAATAAACACACTGTTATAGTTTCTAGAAAACAGAAATTCGTTTTGTACTCATCTGTCAAGATTACAATATGATATATAATTACGATAGTTGACTAAGGCTACCCTAAATTAGGAGCTACTATCAGGATCTAAATTACAGTAATTACAATGACGAGGTTTGACCAATTATTTATGGTAAAAGATTCCAACACGTACATATATGATATCTCTGTCATGTTAACATATATATATGTATAGATGATATCTCATTAATATGATATGTATAATATGTTATTTTTTATGTTACTAGTGTGCCCAAATTTATTGGGACAATGCTTAGTTTGATAGATTCCTGAGTACTACCAACCTAAAACATTTGTGCAGAACCTTACTATGCAACTGAGAGTTTAACTTTGCTAGCTAATATGGTGTGCTGGTCAGTTATCCATACACATTGCCATGAATCTGAATTTTGTTGTCATATTACTTCACCAAACCATCGCAGATTTTAAGCAACATTTGTAATACCAATATGTGAAATGTTTGACAACAGAAGTTCAGGTATTTTGCTTCTGTGGCTCATCGTCTTGTCATCCAATAATCAATTTGTCATTTTCTTCTGCTAGGTAGAGGATCAGGGCATACTCCGTCATCTAACAGTGCTCAGCGAAGTAACTCTAGAGGGCAGGGTGCTTGTGTAAACTGTAGACAAACTGGGCATTCTTCCGATGTTTGTCCTTCAAGGGTTTCACGTGGTCGAAATGTGCGATCTCAGGAAGCTGACGCTCAAGAGGGTGTGACGCTTTTACTATCTTTTATTGCACTATCATGATGTTTCCTGTATTTGCTTCTTATGAGTGTAACGGATGTCTTGTACCTTCTTTTAATGCTGCTACTATCATACCACCCGTCACTCTGCATCCCATAAATGACAGCCACCTTGTAGCCTAAATGGTTGCTAGAAGCTATCTTAGCGTTCCTATCCGAGAAGGCCTAATTATGGGGGAAATGAATATAACGAAGATGGTACAGTTTACCTCCCTGTCCCATGTTTATATTTAACAAGGAAAATAAGAAGGTGACAGAAATTGTATACCCAAAATCGAAAGCTAGATACCTGGTCCTTCATCCTTGAGATTCCTAGAACTTTGTATGACTAGGCTGTGTACTTCCTGCCCACGGATTTAAGAAAAGACTGAACTGCATAATTGCATCGTTCCCTTCAGGAGAGTGGATTAAAAATAAAGAAAAGGATACATGACGAGATTTTATGAATGCACATCTGACATAGCATTCTCCTCTGTAGTAGTCTATTCATGAGTTAAATTTCTTATAAATGCAAGTCTATAACCCTGTTAAAGGCAGAATGATACATGTTATTCTTTTTATTCCTCATGATGCAGGGGAATCTTCAATTCCATGTAGCTCCTGTGGTGCACCTTGTGTTCTTCGCACTGCTAATACTGCAAATAATAGAGGGAGAAAGTTCTATTCATGTCGATTGCAGGAATGCAACTTCTTTGTGTATGTAGAACTAAGATTTTCCCAGCCCTTTTCTGTTCAGTTGAATAAATTTGTAGCATGAACACCATTTGCATTTGCGACAAGCCTTTTAGAGCATATTTGAGGTGTAGTATTAGACTATCAAACAGTATAATAAACAAGATTTTAGTTTCTTTTGTTGTTTTAGTACTGTTTAGTCATGTTCAATCCTTCTTGACAAACATGTCATTAGCATTCTAGTTCTTGAGGTTCTTTCACATCCATAATTTTGTTAATCATATTGTCTGCAATACAGTTGGGAAGATAACATAAATGAAGGAGGCAGAGTTGCACGTGGAAACATAAGTAGAACAGCATCAAACCCCAGCAGGAGTGGCGTCCGTGGCAGGGGTGGCCAGAGTGGAAGACAAGCAAACGATGTAGCATTTGTGTCTGCAACAGGTGAACCCGTATCCGGCAGGTGTTTCGTTTGTGGCGATCCATCGCACTTTGCAAATGTTTGTCCAAATCGTGGTAGGTAATCCTTGAAACTCCCCTTTCTTGCCAGTTTGATTCTACTCCTACCCCTCGATTTCAGATCGATCAAATGTAAGTTCATACAAAGAAGTGCTGAATGTAATGTTTACGTTTACCAAGTTCTGTTTTAACACATAGAAAATTGATATGCGTTATGGATTCTTAAATCAGTTTTTGGTTGTACAGAGAAACATTTGTCCATTAGTACATGAATTCTTAACGAGTCTGTCTGCAATACAAAAGTTCAACATTACTTATTTGACCCAAAGGGATGTCTAGAATTACAGGTGAAAGTGTAGAAACGTGGAATGTGGAATCAAAGAATTGTATTCCTTTTTTTCTATTCAAAATTAATTTACATTACTCAGTTGCTCAATATATAGTACAAAATAGAGAATAAAAAAGGTAAACTAATAATAAGGGAAATATGGAAATTTGCCTATTTTAACTAAGGTAAGAAATCAACTATATAATCAAACACAATATTTATGTAATCGGGATTTCTACGCTCCCCCTCAAGTTGGATCATAAATGTTGACCATTTCCAACTTGTAGATGAAATCCTCGAAAGTTTGTCGAGATAGTCCTTTGGTGAATGTATCGGCGATCTGTTCTTTGGTAGGTACATATGTCATACATATAATACCTTCTTCAACTTTCTCTTTGATGAAGTGTCTGTCCACTTCAACGTGTTTGGTTCGATCGTGTTGGACTGGATTGACAGATATGCTGATAGCTGCTTTGTTGTCGCAATACAATTTGATTGGAAAATTTACCATGACTTGTAACTCCTCCAATAATTTCTTTATCCACAGTCCTTCGCATATTCCTTGTGCTATTGCTTGAAACTCTGCTTCAACACTGCTTCTGGCTACCACATTCTGCTTTTTACTTCTCCAAGTTACCAAATTTCCCCATACAAAGGTACAATAGCCAGTAGTTGATCTTCTGTCCTCTATTGATCCAGCCCAATCTGCATCAGTAAAAACTTCCACTTCTTTTCTTTCATTTTTCTTAAAGAAGAGTCCCTTTCCAGGAGTGCCCTTGAGATATCTGAGGATTCTGTAAACTGCTTCTAGGTGAGTTTCCCTTGGAGAATGCATGTGTTGACTTACCACACTAACAGCAAATGCAATGTCAGGTCTTGTGTGTGATAGGTAGATTAGCTTGCCAACTAACCGCTGATATCTATCCTTTTCAACTGGTTTTCCCGTGTCTACCATTTTTCTTGCATCCATAGGTGTGTCACTTGGTTTACATCCAAGCATGCCCGTTTCGGTTAGGAGACCCAGAATATACTTACGTTGTGAAACATTGATACCCTTCTTTGATCTGGCTACTTCCATCCCTAAAAAATATCTCATTTGTCCCAGATCCTTAACTTCGAATTCTACTGCTAAGTTTTCTTCAGTCTCCCTAGTTCCACTATGTTATCTCCTGTTAGTATTATGTCATCAACATAGACAATGGGGATTGTCTTTGTCCCATCTTTAGATACTTTGTAAAACATGGTATGATCTGACTGTCCTTGCTGATATCCTTGACTTTTTAGTACTCTTGCAAATCGGTCAAACCACGCTCTTGGTGACTGTTTGAGACCATACAAAGATTTTTTTAGTCTACACACCTTGTTTTCTTCATTCATTTCACAGAAACCCGGAGGTAACGTCATGAAGACCTCTTCTTCTAATTCTCCATTCAAGAATGCATTCTTTATGTCAAGCTGTTGAAGAGGCCAATCCAGACTCGCTGCTAAGGACAAGATAACCCTGATTGTGTTAAGTTTTGCCACATGAGCAAATGTTTCTGTGTATAGGACAAGATAACCCTGATTGTATTAAGTTTTGCCACATGAGCAAATGTTTCTGTGTAGTCAATACCATAGGTCTGTGTATATCCCTTTGCAACAAGACGAGCCTTGTACCGTTCTATTGTCCCATCAGCCTTGTATTTCACATTAAAGACCCATTTACATCCGACGAGTTTCTTTCCTCTAGGTAATTCTACCACATCCCAAGTCTTATTTTTCTCCAGTGCTCGCATTTCTTCTAAAACAGCTTCTTTCCATTTTGGAATATTCATGGCTTCCTGAACACTCTTTGGAATTTCTGTATTATCAAGATTTGAGGAAAATGTGCGAAATCCTGCAGATAAAGCATTATATGAAACAAATTTTGAGATTGGGTGAAGAGTACATGACCGAGATTTTTTCCTGAGAGCAATAGGTAAATCATCATCTGGGGACTCAATTTTATCTGAAGAATTCTCATGGAGGTCTGGAGCTATCATCGGTTCTGACTCTTTTGGTGCTTCCTATGTGAGGTTCTCCTTGTACATTGATTTTGGCTTCCTTGAGTAAACTAGTATCTCTTTGTTGACTTGTTTTTCTGCCTCTCCCCCTGAGTTTAAGTGTCCTTTTGTAATTGGCATGTTAGAATTAGGGAATGTGATTGAGTCGGTATTTATGATAGGTTCTGTAGGTGAGAGATCAAAGTTAAAAAATCGATCGTTACTTAAGAACCGATCTTCACTCAAAATCTCCCCCTGAAGAGTGGTTTTTCTGAAGTATGGAGTTTTTTCAAAGAATGTGACATCTAGGCTCACAAAAACTTTCCTTGTGGATGGATCATAGCATTTGTAGCCTTTTTGAGTCGCTGAATATCCAATGAATACACATTTAAGTGCACGAGGATCGAGTTTACTTCGATGATGAGGATGTATGTGGACGAAAGCGGTACAACCGAATATTCGGAGAGGTAAATGTGAAGCAATACGGGAATTGGGAAATGATTCCTGAAATTTTTTTAGTGGTGATTTGAAAGAGAGAATGAGGCTGGGCATTCTGTTTATGAGGTAAGCTGACGTTAGAATTGCATCTCCCCAGAATAGTTTGGGCATATTTGTGGTAAACATTAAAGCACGAGCAACTTCAAGGAGATGCCTATTTTTCCGTTCGGCAATCCCATTTTGTTGAGGGGTGTCGACACAAGAGCTTTGATGAATTATTCCCTGTGTTTGGAGATATTCTTTCAGTGTAGTGTTAAAGTATTCTGTACCATTGTCGGTGCGTAAGATTTGAATTTTTGTCTGGAATTGTGTTTGAATCATTGAATGAAAGTTTAGAAACACAGTTCGAACTTCAGATTTTTCTTTCAGTAAGTAGACCCAACAAAGTCGAGTATGATCATCAATAAATGTGACGAACCATTTGTTGTGAGTTCGATTAGGGGTTCTAGAGGGACCCCATAAATCATTATGAATCAAAGTGAATGGTTTTGATGGTCTGTAAGTGGATTTTGGAAAGGGAGTGCGGTGATGCTTTGCCAATTCACAATTTTCACATTGAAAGTCCGCAGTTATTTTATTTGGAAATATGGAAGGGAATATATGTCGTAAATACTGGAAGTTGGGATGACCCATTCTAAAATGCCATAACAACATGTCACTATCTCTAGGGATAAAAGCAGAATCACAAGTTACTATTTGATTTGATTTACTCACCTCTGCCTCTTCAAAGTAGTATAGCCCCTCACATTCCATAGCACTGCCAATCGTCTTTCCCGAGGATAGGTCCTGAAAAATGCAACGAGAAGGGAAAAATTTAGCCGTACAATTGGAATTTTTCGTTAATTGGCTAATTGACAATAAGTTACAAGCTAGATTTGGAACGTGAAGAACAGATTCTAGAGTTATGGAATTAGAGATTCGAATACTCCATTTTCCTGCTACAGGCGAGAGGGAACCATCTGCAATTTTAACTTTGATATTGCCAGCACAAGTGGAGTATGTGGAAAACAGGTGATAAGAATCTGTCATGTGATCAGACGCTCCAGAGTCAATAATCCACGGAGTTTTAGGTTGAGCTATTGTAAGCGCTCTTAGAAAAATCCCTTTATGGGCTAGTGAGCATGATGGGCTTGAAGTTTGGAAGGTTGAAAACGTATTATATAGTTGCTCCATCTGCTCGGGATTAAACACACTGCTCGGAGTAGAGTTATTTTTTTTCTCGATAGGATCATACTCGGGATGACTCTTTTGCTTAGATCCAGGCCCATTAGTTCCAGGTCCATTTCCTTCAAGTAATGGGCTCATTTCAATTGGCCAATTCCATTTAAAAATAAAAATTCTCGGCCCACTATGTATGTGAGTTTGTCCAGAATTTTTAAGCAATTGGGCCGACCCATTTGGCCCAATACCCTTAGAAATTAGGGCTGAACCCTTAGAAATTATGGCTGATCCACTTCCTTCTTCATCCCGTTCGTCCTCATTCCCAGTCAACTGGATTTTCCGTCGACCATCTTTTCTGCACAACTCCGCGAAGGCCCCCAACGACGGTGGTAGAGGTTGCTGGCTCTGAATTCTCCCCCTCACGTCATCCAAATCGCGATTCAGTCCGGCCAAAAAACCATAGATCCTCTCGTTCTCCAACTGGTTTTTGTACCGCACACTGTCAGCTGAGCACTCCCACTTTTCTTCTGTGTTTTGATCGCGATATGCTTTCCCAATCGCGGGTTTCATGGAGTTAACCAGCCACGCAGTCACCGGTGAATTTTCCCACCATTTCTGCAGAAGGGCGGCATCGGTTGAGGCAGGCTGCTTCCTTTCTCCGGTAAGATACCTTAGTCTTTCTTTTCCGTCAACAATGAATTTGATTGACTGATTGCTATTTTCTGTGTATTCCGCCATTGACGGTTGATGGCTCGGTCAGGAATGACCGGGCTCTGATACCATGTAGAAACGTGGAATGTGGAATCAAAGAATTGTATTCCTTTTTTTCTATTCAAAATTAATTTACATTACTCAGTTGCTCAATATATAGTACAAAATAGAGAATAAAAAAGGTAAACTAATAATAAGGGAAATATGGAAATTTGCCTATTTTAACTAAGGTAAGAAATCAACTATATAATCAAACACAATATTTATGTAATCGGGATTTCTACAGAAAGTTTTAAATTAGCCGATTTATTTACAATCAATGTGTGGAATTACACAATTAAAAGTAAGTCAATTTTTAATTGTTTCTAGATGGTTAATCAATGACGTCATCTTATGTTGAATTTTTACAATTTGTAATATGAAAGCAATAAAGAACACCAATTGATCACGAAGAAATCCCCATTGTTTAAAAACTTCAGACATTTTGTCAGTCAGTAATTCACTATAAATCGAAGCAAACTTATAGTACAGATCAAGTCTATCTACCTAGTAGAGCTTTTGACCTCAGTTTTTGTACTTTAGATTTTCTTGGATTGCGTGCTCCTGACGTTAGATCTCGACTTCTAATACCCCACTTTAATCTTCTTGAATTTGTGATTCTGAAATAGCGGCGATTCTTGGGATCAAATTATCTCTGGTGGGTTAAACGAAGAATTCCTCATTCTTGGGGTTAGTGTTTAATAAAATGATCTTTGTGTGTTTTGATTTGTGGTTTAATATGAACCAATATGGCTTGATGAACAAATCAAAGTTTGGATGAATTTATGGCTCAAATAATATGGTAGTTGAATTTTGGAATCAATGAATGTGTTTTGAATTTTCAAATAAATGACCTCTATGAAAATATATAATTCAACATATTTTGGACGTCTCATAGGTTGTATATTTATAATGGACGGTGTTTGGGATGAAAAAGAACTCAAAATCAGCTTGAAAATTGAATATTACTGTTTCTCGGATAACCAGGTCACTCAAGGGCTAGTTCAACGGCAGCTGAGCAGTTTTCAATATTTTAATTATAACCTTCTCTCTCGATACCCGATTGAGGTAATTCAGAATGTGTTGGAAAACTAATTCAAAGAGCTACAAATTCCAATGTTTTCTATGTGAAAATGCGTTGCAAGTTGCGACTGAAAATTTGGAGCATGACTTGTGTGGTTCTTTGATACTCTTTAAACTTCTAATTACATTTCCTTAATCATATGTGATTTTATTGGACATCTTTAACATATTGGATTCCTTCAAGACCTATACTACTAATCTTTTACTATTTTGATTTTGATTACAACTCAATAAACTTCCAATACAATTCAACTAGTACTCAATTTTGACTAAGAAAATTGTCGGTTACAAATTTGGAAATTACTAATTATAATTTGGAATTAACAAGAAGAATGGAGCATAATGATATTAAACCATTACTTTTCCAGCAAGCATAAATGCCTTATAGACAACAGTTCTGACTAGTTTAGCACCTCCCCAAGCAGTCTCCAACTCTTTAACAACCCCTTCAGGCAACAAATCCACACCTTGTTCCTTTGCAGTAACAACTGCAGACCATGATCTCAGAAATCCCAAATACCCCTCAAATGAAACTTCCTTTGGTATATCAAGAAGAAGTGGATTCCCCTCAGAACCCAATCCTACACTCTTAAACGGAAATGGAAGTGTCCTGTAATCATCATACACATGCTGTACCTTCGAATTCCAGTAAGGAAGTGTTGTTTGAAACCAACGTAGACCGGCTGTATCAAAGGTTGGACTAACCTTAATATCTTTATAGCCCCAGAGAGCGAGTACACCTCCTGGCTTTCTGAGAAGGCGAGTGACAACAGAGTAGAACCTTGGAAGGTCGAACCAATGCACTGCTTGTGCAACAGTTATCAAATCAACAGTACCTTCGTCACCAATTAAGGTCACTAATTCATCATCGGACATGGAGAGTGGCGTGTGGATGTAGCGAACTTTGGGATGTGGCACTGCATACTTTAGCTGCCCTTCGCTAACATCTGTTCCGATCACCTGCTCATAATGTTCAGCAACCTGGTTGTCCAAAATAAAGATTGGTAGTTACAGTGAGTTGTTACAATCCTGGTTTGAACTTGCATATTCCTCAAGTTGCTGGAACAATTGATTACTCAAGATTACTATTAAATGATAGAGAAAGAGAGGGGTGTGTGTGTGGAAATTGACTGGATTTCCTTAACGCAAAAAGGGGTTGGGCTTACACCGATAGCTGCTTGGCCATTGCCGGTGCCGACGTCCCAAGCAAGAGAATGATTCGAGGTGCGCTCCGCCAGCATGGAATACCACTCTTTCGGATAAGTAGGCCTTGCATCCAAGTATATCGCTGCCTGCTTGTCAAAGAGTCCTGCCATTACTATTTTTCTGTATATCGATAATTAAGCATCAATGGACTCCACAATCTGTTATACTCTCTCTCCCTCTCCGCGCTTTTGTTTGTTTGTATATGCTTTTGCACCGTTTGTCTCATTTTTTATAGTAATAGATTTTACAAAAAGTAATTTTTTTGAGAGGTGTGGTTAGAAAGTGTACATGTAAAATTATTCCATTAGGATGTGATGGAAAATGAGTTCCTAAAAAAATGAGTCTTAAAAATTAAAATGATATGAAAGTTTTGGAAGCGACAATGTTGAAAGAAACTTTTGAACCTAAACAACGTTGTCCTACACGCATGTTTTTCTATAATTCTCGAGTTCCCATATATTCTCAAAAAAAGGGCTCAAACATGGACTTTGTAATGATAGTGTCCCACTTAAAAAGACGTTAAATTGATTGTTGTTACTAGTGCTTGAAAAATCATAGAGAAGATAATGCACAACTTACAAGTAAAAATGTGATTAGACCTTCACATTACAATGAAATTCCAGTTAAATTAATTACTAATATCAACTCTCACCTCAAATCAATTATAATCTAGTAAAATAATTGTTATTTGTTGATTCTTGGTAACCATTTTACCGAGTTTCATTAATCTTTAGATAACAATTAAAAATTGTGCATGAATTGATTAGATTAGGCACAATTCGGTTTCGACTTGAACTCCATTCATTTATTATTTATATGTCAATTATAGTAGGATGCGGGGATTCTTTTCCAAACAAAAATACGTGGGCACAATTCAATTTGAACTCGAACTCTATTCATTTATATTTGTTTTGACTACAAATATAATAATATGATTAAATTATTTTATAACAACTCCTTTTTTTTTTTAAAAATGACAAAGTTGATCCAGATCGACTTTCTTAATCTTAGGGTCCGTTTGATTGTAAGGGTGGAAAATAGATTGAAAGAAAATGAATTACAGATAAAGTAAGTGGCCGTTCTCTTTGTGTTTCAGTTTTCTGTTTTCAGTTTTGAATTCGTTTTGTGTTTTGTATTTTGAGTGTTTGTTTTGAAATTACTGAAAATGTGTTCTGTTTGTTGTTTTGGAAAACTGTTTCTGAAAACATAAAACTAGAAAACGCGTTTACTTTGAAATTTTGAGAATTTTTTTTT